AAATTTTGTGCCAATGGTAATCATGACGGAGTAAGAAATACTACGCCTGGGCTTTCTGGGGCCTAGAAAACCTACTCGGGACATTTAATATAATCAGGGCTCGGTGACAAATACATTTGATAGACTGCTACACAGAAAAGGGCAGAAGAAAATGTTCTGTAAGAAACATTTCCATGAAGTCTCTTCCTACTGTGACAAGTACATCTTATGACTTTGCATCCTTAAAAATCCATTATTCCCTGGATAAGTTAAATAGAAGACTTGCAACTAGTCTATAGAAAGGGTTACTAATTTGCATTTAAAAAGAACAGTTTGCTCCACATACACCCGGTGACTTAAAAGGAACTTCAGTGAGCTGGTAAAGAAATTCTGAAGACTTTCTAAATTAATTTATTCAATTCGCAGCACAACTCACTAAAATTATTTAAAGCACTTAATTGGAAAATGATTTAATATATTGAAGTAATTCTTGATTTTCTAAAGCATTTGGCTTTTAAATTAAATTGACCCTACTATCACAAGAATGACGACTGAAACGTGTTTCCAAGTCATTACCCTCATTTTGGAGCCTAAAATCACTGATAAATTTAATAAAATGTGTCCAGAATCATTGCCAAAGTGGTTCTGACCTTTTGGTTCGGTTACTACTGTGGAATATATCTTTATCATCCAAAATAGGACTGCTACTTTATTATTAGTAGTAAGCAAAATTAAATGTTACAAACGCAAGAGACTTGCTTATCAAGGCAAAACGGATTTTAGAATAAAAGAACTATGTTACCAACTAATTGTGAAACTTCAGCACAGAAACTTCTCTCTCGCCAAAGTTACCAGTGCCTTCCAACTTGCCCCGGGCTAAAGGGCTCCCTTTCTCCCTTGCCCAGGACTAGATTTCCCTTGTTTCAAACTTGCTTAAACATCATGGGCACGCAGCTCATCCCTGTGACTGGGTCTTGCACTGCACACAGCATTTAGGAGCTTCTCCACGGGGTGAGATCTGCGGTTCACTTAACTCACAGCTGTGTGTGTGTGTGTGTGTGTGTGTGTGCGTGTGTGTGTGCGCGCGCGTGTGTGTCCCGATTGACCAAGTCTATTGAGTGGTGCAGAACCCAGGGGCTGAAGATGCAGCGCGATAAATACCTCTGTATCACGTTAAAACAAGCTGTTTCATGATGACTCGCCACCGGGCATATGTTAGGAAGTCCCAACGATTTATCCAGTGGAATTCAGCGAGGGGCCAACAGGGAATTGCCTGCAGGGGCTGCGAGTATCAGGCAGGTTTAGCACCGAGCGGGAGCCGCCACCTAAGCCGCTGGCCCAGCGTTTCGGGGAACTCAGCTCTCCCCGCCGACGTCCACCCCGCGGGACAGCTTGGCACGTCCAACAACCCCAAAGCAGCGATGGCCTTGGCCCCACGGCTGCTCGAAGGAGGCCTGTCCCTACACGCCTTCCCTCTCCGGCTGAGAGTTTGCGAAGCCCAAAGAGTAGGACCCTCCCCAAGCACCCCGAGGCTGCTCTGCGCTCCGCAGCAGCTCGGGCTGGCGTCCCCACCCTGGGCCGCCCGCAGGGGCAGCCTGGCCCGGGTCCCCCCGCGGCCTTGGCGTCTGGGGTCAAGCAGCTATGGATGCAGCCCAGCCTAGGACCCTGCTCCAGCCCGGAGCCGAGCCGAGCGCGGGAGCTTTGGACGTGAACGCCAAGCGCTCGCCCGGCTGGTAACAAACTTGCAATTTCCGCGCGCACCCCCCAAGCGGAGCTGTCCCCAGACCCGGCTCCCCCGCGGCGCCCCGGCCCGCAGACCCGCGTCCGAACTGCGGGCTTGGCCGCCGGAACGCGTCTGGGAAAACAAAAGAGTTGTGGAGCAATTTTCCCGGCGGGGGGCGGGGGCGTCTCCAGGGTCCCCGCACCCCGACTCCCGGCTGCTCCCCTGGCAACTAATCCCGAGCAGGGAAGCGGTGCCACGAGCCCCCCGCTGCCCGCGAGAGGGAGGTAGGTGAAGAGAAGGGGCTGCAAACAAGCTGAATTCTCAGTCTCTGCCTCGGTTCCCGGACACCAGACACACCCCCAAAGTATACCGTGGTTTTCGCCTAATTTTTTTTTTGAACGCCCCCCGGCCAACCTAGGCAGGGATCCTTAGCCGCGAACAGCAGGAAGGAAAAAATCCGAGCAGATCGCGTCACTTTCCGCACAACCGCGGCGCGTGACAAGCCCC